CCAGCGGCTGGGAGCGAGCACTGGGCAGGTCAGGAACTTCCTGGAAGTTTCAGTTTCAGGGATCCCCGGCCTCATCCGAAAGGCGCCCGCCCCCGTCGGCTGCATCTCGGGCAGGACTGGCTCTGGCTCTGCAAGGGGGCTGAGCGCTCTGTCTAGGCTATTCATAGTGCTACGGCCACCAGAGTGTTTTCCAAACTCCCCGTCAGGGACAGTTCAGATTCCAGGCCCGTTTCAACAGTAGCTTCCCCCCCCTCCCCCCTCTTTCCCGGCCTCATCCGAAAGGCGCCCGCCCCCGTCGGCTGCATCTCGGGCAGGACTGGCTCTGGCTCTGCAAGGGGGCTGAGCGCTCTGTCTAGGCTATTCATAGTGCTACGGCCACCAGAGTGTTTTCCAAACTCCCCGTCAGGGACAGTTCAGATTCCAGGCCCGTTTCAACAGTAGCTTCCCCCCCCTCCCCCCTCTTTCCAGCTGGCTCTGGTTTTAACCCCATGTTCTGTGCAAGACCTGCTTGATTTTGGAAATGGGGAGCCACCCTCTGTTGCTCTGGGAATTATCAGAGGTCCCTGTCATAGGGCTGGCTTGACTTCCCTATTGGGTGGGGATGCAGAAATGACATGTGGGGGTGGCTCATGAGGTCATATGCCACCCCTACTTTTCTACCTTTCATTTATTTATCACAGAGGTTTTCAAACTGTGGGCAGGAGGAACGTTTTGAGGGGAAGTTGTGATGCCTGGCAGCTCAGGCCAGCCTTGTGTGGTCATGCCCTGAGGTAGGGTTGACAACTTTGTATTATTTAAAAATGGACTCTGAGCATTCAGTCAGTAGATCTGATTGTACGCTGTCAGGTCCCCTTTTCAACCAGTCTTTCTGGTAAAAAGCCAGACACCTAGCCACCCTCTCCAAGCTTTGCCTTGTGGCTTGGCCTGAGCAGCTTGCCTCTTCCCTGCCCCCTCCCCTGAAAACCTGTGGGCTAAATGGAAGGTGGAAATATGGAAGGGCATGTGACTTTGTGCACCCCACATGTCACCTGGTTGGGGGAGGGGGGAAGTACTTCTCCATTTTCCCCCAATCTCTGCTTGTGCTGTATGTGAATAGCAGTAGCTGCCAGGATATAAAGGCCTCTTTATTTTTACATCTGCGGAAGATTCGTTTGATTATTATGGGAGGAGAAAGTACAACCTTTACCTGCAACTTTCCAGTTTTTTGTGTATTCTCTTTTTGCATCATTTTTCTTAGGTGCTGAGGGTCACTGGATTTGTTTGACGTTGTTGGTGCTCCACACTTCTGATAAACAAGCTCAATGTGTCTTTAGACATAGGCTTCATCTTCAGTGCAACTGAGATTTATTTTTTTCCACCAAGATATCCCAATACATTGTAAATGTAAAGTAATCTCAATGTAAAGTTCTAGTGGAGACAAGACAGTCATTTTTAACTTCATATAGCTGGTCAACAGCTACCTGTGTCTTGACTCCATTAGGACTTTACATTGAGATAGACACCTTGGTGTAAAAAACACATCTCTTCTCCAGTGAACTCCAGAGTAATAAATCAATGGCAGGAACTGTCTATAATTTTGTGCATTCTACACCACTGAGTGTGCAACAGTAACTTGATGAAAGTCTTGTTTTTTGAGACTTTCGTCAGGTTACTGTTGCACATTCAGTGGTGTAGAATTCATAATTCTGTAGGTTTCATAATTCTTTTCTGATTAGGTGTGTTGGCTCCTGGACTGTGTAAGACAACACACTGTCTTGTCACAGGACTGTGTGAAATAGTCTCTTGTGAAGAATTCCAGAGTTGTTCAGAAAATTCTGTTCACTTTAGGGCAGGACACTGTACCTTTGCAGGTCTATACAGGCAGTCCCCGACTTACCACACTTACGAACGGGGCTTTTCTCGCCCCGGAGCTCACGAGCGGCGGGTCGCCACCCGTGTCCTCCGGGGCGAGAAAAGCTTCTCCCGGTCTCCCTGGTCTGCTGGGGGGGTC